GAGTTGATTTCAGTCTTGCTCTTTCTCTGGTCTTCCTGCCCACCTGTAGGCTGAGAATACTGATTGTTTAGCCTCACTGGATCTCAAGTTCTTTTTCTTTGTCTGTTTCTTGGGATCCGTTTCTTTGTCATTATCTTTTTTTTTTTTTTTGTTCCCTGTCTCTTGCTGTCTTCCCTTGTTTTCTACTTTCTTCTGTCTCTTTTTCCCTTGTTTTCCTTCTTTTGTTAGTTTTCAAGATCACTCACTTCACATCTCACTCTCTTACTCTCATTTTCTCTTATTTTTCCTTTCTCTGTGTTCTCACTGTATCTTTTTCTCTAGATTTCTCCCTCCTCTTTCTTCAGCTCTGTATCTTTGAGTGTCTGTGTTTCTGTCTGTTTCTTCCTCTCTTTATCTGATTTTCTATCAAGAAAGATGCCTTAATATTTCTTCCTTCAATTATCTATTCCTCTTTCCCTTTGACTCCCTCTCCTTGCTGGCTGACAGCAGTGCTCAATGGGTCAGAGCCTTGGGGGCCAGAGCTAGGAAGGATAACTAGGGGGATGAGGGAGTGGTGGAAATGATGAATTGGGTAAGGGGATATTTGAGGGAATTGATAGATAAATAATTAGAAGAAATAAGGGAAGAAAGTGAAATAGGATTGTTGTGTCATTAAGCAGAAAGTCAACAGACTTATAGTCTCACCCTAATTTACAGCAAGACACTAGGCAAATCATTTACCCTCTGAAGGAAATTCTTAACGTATGATTCCTATCACCCTTTATGGTTTTGATTCTGTGGTCTTCTAATTTTTTTTTTGTTGCTATGAATTTATTACTCTCTGACTAAAGTTATGTAAAATCCTGATTCTTCAGTGGTGGGAAAAGGGTGCTAGAATAGAAAGTAAGATCTGATGTTTCCAACACCTAAAGAGAACTAATCACTTCTCCTCCAGACTTAAGTAGTCTTGCCAAGCAGGCCACAAAAGGAGAGAGGGCAAGGAATGATGCGATGAGTAGTTTCTGGCTCTCTGTTGGGGTAGAGTTGTGACTGGATCTTTTGACCTCTGGGACTATAGATTAGATGCTGCATGAGATTTTAAAAAAACCTTTGAGTAATGATCTGTAACTTGGCCTGATGCTTCACTATCTCTTTGGTTGAAAGCATTGTTTTAAGAAGATTCCTACCAAGCCTTATCACACAGTGGTGCATATGTTGTTACATATTGGAATGAATGAATGAATGTTCAACAGTAAATGAAATTCCATTCAGTTCCTTTGGTAAAGGCCTTTGCTCACAAAAGGCAAATCTCTAGGGAAGGGGCCTATATTAGTGAGTCAGGTCTTCAGTCAAGAAAATTTGTAGTAATATTTGAATCATGGATCATAGTGTCTTCTGGAACCAGACTGCCTAGATTCAAATGCTGCTTCTCTTGCTTACTCACTCTATGACCTGAACAGGTCACTTAATCTTTTAGGGTCTCAGTTTGACTTTCTTAATCCTTATCAAAGTCAGTGAATGTGAAGTGTTTACAACAGGGCCTGGCACAGTAAGGGCTCTGTGAGTGACCATCAGAATCAGATGGTATCTATGAAATCATCTTGCCCAACATCTGTGGAGAAGCTAGGGTCCAAAGAAGGGAAGTATAGAGCCCATGTTCACATAGTAAATTGTGACATGATTAGTCCTTAGCTTTCCAAACCTGGCCTTATATATGCATGAGTTGTACCTTCACTTTCCTTACATAGAAAATGGAGAAAATAATAATAATAGCTAACACTTTTTCAGTATTCATTCCAGAATAAGTATGCTTCTAAACACAGTGGAACATCCATAGCTGAGTATCTCCCTACATTGGCCACCTCCTTAAGTTGACCTAATTTTTATAGACCATACATGCACCACATGTACTAAGGCTTATATCTTTATGTTGACCACCTTCATAAGTTGACAAATTTGTTACAGTCCCTTGGGTGGTTACCTTACAGATCTACTGTACTTTGGATTATTTTACAGAATCTTCACAGCATTTTATGAAGCAGATCATCCTTAAATATATAAAGTATAAGCAGGGAAGTGACTTTTCTAAAGTCCTAACAATAATGAATGATGGAGCCAGGATTCAAATTCAAGTAGTCTAGCCCCAGAGCCTATGCTCTCAATGCCCTAAATTGCCTAAAATCCTTCCTTGATTTCATTGTACTTAGTCCACTTTTATGGTAGGTAGTAAGATGGAATAGAAACAAAGTAACTAGACTACAAGGTCATCCATCATAATGATGGCCATGAAGAATGAAGCAGAGTAAATTATAGGAAATAAGTATCAGAAGAAATATGGGAACTGGATCTTGAAAGAACTTGAGAATTTAATAGATCCCAGGAAGTGGTCTGTATTTTCCCAGAACCCTGAGCATATCATACCCAAAAGCACTTTAGAGTTGATGAGTATACTGAACTTATTTTGCTTTTATACATGAGGAATAGGCTTTAATACATCATCTCAAGACCTCCAGTCTTGAGGGCTTGCCTTCCCAGTTAATACTCCAATGTTGTCATTATTGCTGTTAGTAATGATGTTGGGGAAAGGAGTTTGTAAGCATCTGGCCATCTGCCCTGACTGCCTGTCCCTGGGCCATCCACCTCTCCTTACCACCAATAGCCAGGGACAGCCCCAGCCAGATGCTCAGATGTGATTCCAGGAAGGGGCTTCTCTTCTCTCCCACACCCTTGTTTTAGCTTGGGGAGTAGTCAGATCGCAATAGCGATAAGCTCTCGGAACTTTATCTATGGTCTTCAGGCTTAGCCTTTAGTGCTTTAACCTGCACAGACAAGCAGGGGAAGAGAAACTCCTCCTATCTTCAGAAATGAGGTAGGCACTGAATCCAATTCATTTTCTACATTTGAGGTAGCCACAATTACCTCACATTTTACTGCAAGTGAAAGCCAAGACCAGAGAGAGGAAGTTAAGAGTGTTCAATAAGGGAGTTTGGGGAGCTGAAAATTAAAAAAAAAAAATAGAAATTTAAGAATTTCTTCAAGAAAAGTCAATATTTATTGAACATGTACTATATTGCCAGGCACCACCCTAAAGGCTTAACATGAATTATTTCATTTAGTCGTTTCAAGAACAATCCTTATTTTTTTTCCAATTTCATGGCCTACACACACTGCCCCCACATACCAAGCCAGACAACTGTGATAGCCTGTGAGAGTAGGAGGATGCTCTGAAATGGAAAAAGGTGAAGAGATTACTCTGTGAATTAGAGGGAGGGTGCTTGCTCAGGAAGAGAGGGAGGTGAAGGAGGTTGCCATGTGAGGACAGGTCCATAAGCTCATCCTGTTTGCCTTTCCTTCACAATATAAGGCTTTAGTTATGAGAGTGCTGTTAGATTCTACTCAGTAGTTTTCTTGGTAGTGCTAAGGCCTTAGTCCTCCAATATTCTCCCATATTTCTCTTATTGTACTGTCCCTTACCTTGTCTAAACTTTTGACTCTGGCTTTTCAATTTTACCTTTTTCTTTCAATCTGTTTCTTCCTCTTGTTCTCACTAGTTGTCCTTCTCTAGGTGTCTCTCAGCCTTCCCTCTTCACAACTCTCATTTCCCCTTGTAGTCATCTCACTGTCTCCATCTTTTGATCTTGTCATTTTCTCTACTCTCTTCTTTCTGTCCCTTAGTCTCTCACTCATCTTCCTCAATAGGGTCATGCTCCTTTCCCCAAAATCTTTTGCTTTTTTTCCTTAACCCTCCTCAATCTCTGGCAGCATTTCTTCTTTTATCTTTGTGTCTAACTGACTCTCTGCCCCTGCTGGATTCTCTCCTCTTCACCTCTCAGTTTTATGAGTCATTGTCTATTCCTCTAATCTCCTTCATCTCTCCTCGTGTCCTTTTTCTGTCCCTCTGTCTGTATCTACCTATACCCCTGTGTGAAGCCCTCCCTTAATTTTTTCTTTTTCTCATCTCATCTAAGTCTTTTTCTTTATCCTCCTGCATTTGCTATCATCCTCTTATTCTGTCTTTCCAAATCAATTCTCCTCTCCATGTCTGTTCTCCCTGCTATTCTGTACCCTTTACCTTTGGCTTTGATCAATTTCCTCCCCAGACTTTGTGTTCTTTTAACTCTGCCACTACTACCACATTTGTTCTCTATTTTCTTCCTTTATATTTCTAAATTTCCTTTTCTTCTATTTCCCTACTTCTCTTTCTCCCATTTAAGACCCTGTTCATTCATCAATTTACTCATAAATTCAGCAAGTGTTTATTACACACATAATTTGCCATTTGGTTTCTCTTTTTCTTATCTTCTCTCTGTTTGCTTTCTCTCCTATGTCTTGGTCTCTGCCTTTTTCACTAACCCATAGACTACATATTTGTGCTTTTTCTTTTAACTCCTTTGGGATTTGCTTATACCTCCTTCTTTGTCTGAGCATATCCAAAAGCCATATACAAATTCAAAGATAGCAAAATACTAGCTAAGTGGCACATTACTTGTAAGACCTAAGGCCTGTTCTTTCTTCCTGTTCTCTGGATCTCTTGGTATCTGTAGCCCGAAGTTCCTTCTCTCTCACTGAATGAGCTTGCTGAGGAAAATCTCTGGGCAAAGTCTCACTTGGCTAAGGCCAATACTCATAAAAAGACTCTTGGCCTTAAGTGTTTATCAAAGGGCTGATAGATTGTCACCTCTCATCCTGCCATACATAAGTGCACTTCAATAATCCTCACCATCACAGAAGGTCAGTAGCATAGTCTGAGTCAGAAGCTAGGCTTTCTAACCTCCAGTTAGAAGTCTTTCATTCAACCCTTTTTCTAGTGATGAGGTTATTATTTCATCCTCTCTGATTTACCTTTGGTACATCTTAACTTTTCAAAGGAAGTTCTTTTCCTGGAAGTACACTAAGTACATCTCTGAGGAGGGCAGCAAGCTTTGAGTGGGAAACTAAGGGCAAAATATAAAACATAGGAATGAACTTTGGCTTTTGGACAAACCCTCATGATGAAATGTCATATCTTCCATATCTTCTGCAGATGATGGCAGCAGCCATGTTGCTACAGTACTGTCCAGTGCTTGCCCGGGGCCCCACAGGCCTCCTAGGCAAAGTTCTGAAGACTCATCCATTCATTCTTGGCATTGGACATTGTCCTATTTTGGCTATCCAAGGACCAATATGTTCTCAAATCCATCTTAAGGCAACAAAGGCTGGAAGAGGTAAGAAGAGGCTGCTGGAAAAAAAGGAGAATTTCTGGGTCCTGTGGACAAGGTTCTAAGTCATATTGGGCATCATTGCCTAATAATTAGGAGAGTTCATGCAAAAGGTGTTGAAGCAGGATGAACTGGCCCCAAAATATATGCAGGATTTGTCTTCTACCAGGTTCTCTAGAGAATATCACTCCTATGCTCCCATATATTATATTTCAGCCATGCTGAAACTGTTTATAATTACCTGAACTGATCTGATTTTATCAAGATTTTGTGCCTTTTATCCTGTTGCTCTCCCATACCCTTTACCAGAGTACCTCATACTTCTCATTTGACATTAATATTGGACATCATATCCTCTGTGAAACCTGCCTAGACCTCCCAATTCCAGCCTGTCCAATTCCAATTCCAGAGGTCATGTTCCCTCCCTCTTCTGGACTTACATGGCCCCTCCCACCTCAGCACTGTTCACAGTGTGTCTTCAGCAATTGCCATTCTCATCAGCTTAGAAGCTCCCCTAGCACAGACACCAGACTCATCCATGTGTATCTCTATTTCTGTACCATAGCCTGAGATAGGACTTTAAGATACAGTAAATATCAGTAATTATTATTGAACTGAATTTATGGCTAAAAAGGCAACCCAACTACTCTCTTATCTTTGCATAGACTCTCCATCTTGGACCAAGAGCCACTGTCCCTTTATGCTCTCAGAACTTCAGGATGGGAAGAGCAAGATTGTACAGAAGGCAGCCCCAGAAGTCCAAGAGGATGTGAAATCTTTCAAGTCAGGTTGGAATAAAGTTCCACTTTATGTGCCCACTGTTCCTAATGTTTGAACCTACCTCATCAAAATCTTGAACTAGGCTAATCCAAGGGCAACTAGTGCACATCCTGTGATGAGAAGTCTAGTACTTTACAGGGAAGCCACGACAGGCAATAGGTTAAACTACATGATAAATCACACTCATCCAATACACACACACGCACAGGCTCCTGTAACTTTCAGATATCAGTCTAAGATTAGTCCTGTAGAATTCTCTGTCCCTGCTTTCAGGTGGTAAACATAGTCAAACAGGCTCTGTTCCCATGTTTAAGCAAAAGGTCTCTATAAAAATCTAGATTTGCATGAAACAATGGGTTAGGGGTAGGTATATCCTTTAGAAGGGTGTGGAGCCTCAACTTAACTGACGCAGATTACAAAGATAACCATGCTTGAGAGATGGCCCCACTAATGACACTGTTCATAGGCCCTTTAGGGGTATAAATAATGACTAGAATTTTGAAATGATCTTTAGAAAACAAGAGTCAGCTTCACTGCCCTACATCTCTTTCCCAAGCGCAGGACCCAGTGTGGCTGCCCAAGTTACCTTACTAAAGGGAATATCTTAGTGGAGAGAAGTGTGATTCACCTTATGGAAGATTTTCTGACATTATAGGAGTCTCCACTAAGAGGGGAATAGGAGCTCACTTTGCAAAAGATTTGCCTCTCTGCAGAAGGCTTACCTACTTTATAAACTTGAATTTTCATATATTTCATTGAGCTTAAAGAGGAAAACACATGCTTTCTTCCTCCTTCCCTTCATGGCCAATGAACTCCACACTCCCTCTCAGAGCTGTCCATCAATGTGGCCTCAATCAGCCTAAGGAATCCATTCTCCAGTCCCCAGGAGCAAGAGCAAATATCAGGGACGGTCACACACCTGATTCAGAACAACATGCTTGGTGAGTTTGCGGAGGTGGAAATCAAGGGAATCAGAATAGGGAAAGATATCTTAAATGACTTTTGACATAGTAGAAGAAAGGGCATGGAAGGACTTTGGAACAAAAAGGAATCTTAGTTTAAAGTTTAACATGAGCACTTGCTTGATTTGTGTGCTTAGGCAAGTAAGTCACTTCCCTTTAGTGAGATTTTAATATGTATTTCAAAAGGTTACCATGTGGAGAAAATAAAATTACATTTATGGAAATGTTTATAGCTTATTATGAGGCCTCATTAAATATTAGGCTTACTCTCATTATTTATTCTCCACAGTTCCCTCACAAACTCTCACTCTTCATAGAAAGCATTTTCTCGTTAAGAACAAGAAGAATGGAAGAAAAAGTATCCAATGTACACAGCCCTATTATGAAACTAATTTATAGCTTTCATATAAAAGCTATAACCTAATTATAGCCTAAGAATA